TAGCACAATGTAATCGGTAGCCATTGGGCTCAACTTTACACATCTCGATCTTTAAAACTCTATACTTTTATTAGTTTAATATGGAACATTTCGTATTCCATACAGCGCCCCTTCGACCGTGCGTGGTCTGTAATCATATGGAAAACAAAGAAAGAAAAGGACGAAAACGTGACAGTTACGAGTTTCGGGACCGAAATAGAGGAGTGAGTATTTGATGATAACTAGTTAGAGAGACAGTATCTATAGAAAAATAGAAGGGTTTGCTATTAGAGGTCTTCCCGAAAATTAGGTGCTTTTTGCAATACACACAGACAAACAGACGGGAGAGGACAAGGCGAAAATCTGGGATGGTAGTAATGTGGTTTCAGCTGCTAGCTCAAGTGACCATGTACTCATAGTAACCTGGTGAAGGCCTCATCCAAAGTTTCCTAAAACATGCGTAAAAGACCTTCAGACTCCCACCCCCCCCCCTTCCGAGAACTCCCCACCAGAATAGTCGAAGTATTCGAACTCGCTCGGAAGTTGGGGTGATCACATCACATGGCTTTAAAAGGATTGACAGGGTGGCCATTTGAAAACTAACAACGATGGTAGAACAGAAACTAGAAATAGTGCGCGAGGGGTGGAGAGGTCCTCCAAAGAACCTTTTAGAAATGGCCACATTCAAACTGCTTGGCTGCGAGGTTCAAAGCGAGGAGTTGGAAAGGAAAAGGGAAGCATCTAGCATTGATTCGTCAGCGATCTACGTTGGTATAGGATCGGTCACTCCGGGATTAGCCCAGCTAGTAGAAGGGATACCACGAGGGAAATTGTAGGGTCCGTGCGTAAGTGGATCACTCCAGCTTTTTCGCAAAAACTGCGCGGTTAGGGCGCTAATGCTTACGGGCCAGCAACCATTGACTCCCGTTCCAACGCTGTCCACCCGACGCGTGAGGTGGTGAGATCAGCGTGCTCTCCCGAACGACGTGCTCTCTCGCGTATTTTGTCTAATTTGACCGCCCTTACTCGCCATCGTATCACATCGACCATTGAAGGTTAAGGCCTTAATTTCAGCGTTCTCAAAGATTTCTCTTGCTTTCCTTCCACTTTCAGGTCGTTCCGCAGCTAAGCTATCACCACAAAGCGCTGATAGCACCTGTTTAATCCCGGATTTGCCTTTAATACTGCGGGTTGTCTAGAGATTTGCAACTTTCGAAGACTATTTCCTTTTTTCTACAACCCTCTCACCGTCGACAAGAAGGGCTCCTTGGTGCAGTGGTAGCGACGCTGCTTATGGGAAGGTGCATCGAAGGTTCAAACCCAAGTATGACATTCACATCATCATTCACTAGTGAAGTTCTCTCTGAGGATCGGTAGGCGTTATCCACTGCCAGCTGCTCGACACGGTCACAGAATACTTCCAGGAAACGGCGACAATACGATTTGCTTCACGATCTTAGCACGTATCCACGGTCTGATGCTGGCAGATTCCCTAAGAGGGCTGCCCTTCAGTTGCTCACCCGCCATATTCATCAGTCCTGTGTTCCCACTATTTTCACTTTTTTGGTCGCTCGCTCAACGCTTTTCTATGACAGGGAGGAGCTCAAATCCAACTTCCAGACTCTTCTCTTTGGAAATCTCTCCGTGGTATCTGCTGGTTTCCCAAAAGTTGGTGTATTGATCATGACCCTACTGGTCAATTTGTTAATGATCTTAAAATGCATGAAAACCAAAAAATTCAAAAATTGGCCGTGGATGTTCGAAGACCTTCTTTCCAACCAAATATAATATTTCTATTTTGGTGGCGCACGTATTCGCATGCGTCACACGTGACTGCAGCGGTATGAAACACGGCCATCGACATTTTTATGCATTTGAACTTCGTCTACGGCCGATGTCATAGTTTGCGAATCGAGCGATTCGCTAGCGAATCGAACGTTGCACCAGCGAATCGAACGATGTACCAGCGAGTCGAACGATGTACCAGCGACTCAATAGTGGCGGGACCCAACGTTCAAAGGAAGCCCGCCACTTTCAAACAGTGTCCACTGTCACGTGACACTGTTTGAAAGTGGCGGGCTTCCTTTGAACGTTGGGTCCCGCCACTATTGAGTCGCTGGTACATAGTTCGACTCGCTGGTGCATCGTTCGATTCGCTGGTGCAACGTTCGATTCGCTGGCGCAACGCTCGGATCCAGCGATTCGCCGCAAACTATGACATCGGCCTACTTCGGTGTGCGCTTCACTCGCCAATAGAATTGGACCTCCCTTCCACTGTTGTACCCTATCTACTGTTTTCCTGGTCTTCAGGACTCCTTAAAACCGAGTCATAGAATTGCTGGAAAACTCCGCCTACTTTTCTACAATAACGCACGCTACGCCCACCGTTATTATCATTGTTTTGGCCTCCCCTATTTCCTGACCCTGTCCATCTTTTCCCGCTCGCTCAGATTCTTGGAACCAAATTAGACTCGACATGTTTGTAGGAAACGCTCTCCACTTCAGGACGCGCTCCGCCCAGGCCTCACGTCATGCATGCTAGGAACACCTTAGACATGGTTTTCCTTCACCGATTTTCTTCTCTGGCTTCCTCCCTACCGAGTTATAAGTTTTCATTGAGCACCCTTTTTCAGAGAACGCCCCGCCCACCGAGGGTGGGTCTCCTCAATTCAATCTGGCTTACCAACGCACACCTATACCCACTTTTGTCCCGGTCTCGAGGCTGTTTTGTGACTGAATTTGAAATCATGGTCCTCAGTACCACTCATTTCGATGCACGCCACGCCCACTGTGGGCGGGGCTCCGCTTAGTTGACACGGTTCTTCTCGAGGCCTGAGCCACCCTAAAACACACCCTTCCTCCTCATCTACCAATCTTAGACTACGGCTCACCCTGGTGCCCCAGTTTGACATGCACTCAGAGCGAGAGATTGCGATAAAGTGCGTGTGCAGCGTAGAAGCACATGTGCTAGTAGAAGCAGGTCGAAGGAAGCGAAATGTGGCGTTTTTGTGGCCAAAGGTGCGCTAGCTGCAGCGTACTGGGCTTGCCATTCCTTTCTGAGCTCCGCCACCGCCACCTGTGCCCGCCCCTAGCAGCACGTCCTTCGATTCTCGTTTTGATGAGGTTTTCCGCTTTAAGGCCGATGTCAGACTTTGCGAATCGCGCGATTCGCTAGCGTCTGCGGTCGCGTCGCGGCCAGTGAATCACTCAATTGGCTGGTACCGCAACGCGACCGCGGACGCTAGCGAATCGCGCGAATCGCTAGTAGCGAATCGCGCGATTCGCAAAGTCTGACATCGGCCTAAAGGAGGAATTCACGATTAGAATGAAGGTCGAGGAAAAAGTAATTGACCTAGTTGAGGACCCACGGACCTCCTGAGGGTGCGAACTGACGCGCAATTCGCATCGAAAAATTTGACCTCGGCGACCTATCATGCCTCAAAGTTGGCGGGTCCGGCGATCTCCGCCCACCGATCATCTGATCACTCGCCGCAGTTCTATACGTGGCGAGTGATTAGATAGCTGAGAGAGCGTAGTGTTGAAGAGGGCACAGCGATGAGAGTCGCATCAATGCTCAAATCAACGGGCAAGGAAGGGGTCCCATTTCTCGGGTTCTGGGCCGTTTCTCATGGTTCTTCCTTCTTTCGTGTACCACTCACCATCCCTAGGTTAATTTGAAATGGGTTGCCTTTCCAGCGTGAATTCGTCCTTTAGCTTTACTATAGCTTCCGAAGAAACGCGTTACCAAGCAAAGCGTAAGTTTTGCTGGTATGATGGTGCTATCGGTTTAACATGTGCAAACGACCTCTAATTGGTTGCTAGCTCGTCCATTATCGGAGGTCAACGGGCAAAGAAAGGGGTCCCATTTTGCGCGTTCTTGACGGATTTCTTTGCTTTTTTCGCCACTGGGGCATTATTCAGCATCTCCACTTCCACTATGAACCCAGTCCAATCTTATCGTAATCTCTCGCTTTGAACAGCGCCTATCTTGAGGATAGTTGAAGAAATTTCACCTGGTGTGCTTGCCATCGACCCATACAATCTGGGACGGTAGTAAAGTCCCCTAAATAGCCAGTCTATAGCTGGCCAATAGGTCACGTTGATCTCGCCTTCGTCGGCACTCAAAAAGCATGGGGAAAGGGCGGAAATTCACGCTGACCTCCCGCAGAGGGCGAGGTCTATACCACATGTTAAGTGGCGAACGTATTAGGTGGCACCTAGCCTAGGCGGCGAACCCGGCAGAGAAAGGGGAAAGTGCGTGGAGATTGCAGAGACGCAGAGGGTCATGTAGAGGGCGACTAAAATGTACCCCTGAGTACATTTTAGTCGCCGTCTATCTGCGTCTCTTCAATCCCCATGCACTTCCCCCTTTCTCTGCACGTCATGCATTGGTCGCATTGAGCGTCTCTGCGTCCCTGCCATGCCCATGCACTTCCCCCTTTCTCTGCACGTCATGCATTGGTCGCATTGAGCGTCCTTCCGTCCTGGGGAGCGTGCATTCG